TAGATTTATTCAATGAAACTTTAACATCAATTCAATGCTGGTTCCAGAAACAAAGGCCGAACAGTCTGAACTTGCCTTGCACATCATCTGAAGAACCCCGGGGACTTTCAACAATGATGCTGGATAATTATCTCGAACGATCTGGTCTGGTATTATCTTCCCCTGAAGCCGAGTCGCAGTTACCAGTAAGCTTGAAGATACTTCTAACACTTGTGCCTCTTCATCTGCAACGGATGGATAATTGGTCATAAAAACCAACTAGCATCCATACACTGCAGAAACTCTTGTTTAAATGACGATAGTGATGTCTGATTTACTGCTAAATTTTTTCTATCTTTGATAAAATCATTCATCATTGTTGCCACTTAACTTAAAATTACCATAATTCAAAACGTGCCTCAGGCGCTGAAAATCGAAAGTATCTTAACAGTGAAGTATAGATGGCTAATCTAATGACATGTAAGAAACGCAAGTGAAATTGCAAAAAAATCGCTAGGTTTCATTACCACTTGCGTAACCAGATAGCGAAATGAATTCGACAATGGAGAAATGATCAACCCACTTGATTTTTCAGCAACGAAAGAATCATGCGCCGCTGTTATACTGGTTGAGTTGGAGCAACTCATGATCATGCAACTTGATACGTGCTCTTTGCGGCGACGACAAGTCTCATGCAGAAGTTTTAATTAACCAGCCAAACGTAAAGTATTCATAATATGGCAATCTTCCTGAGATAGAAAACAATAAAAATGATTATAAACCTTTGAATAACAGAACTGATTTGTACATAAGCGTATTTCCAGATGGTTATAGTTGTTAGACTCGTTGCCAATGTGTCATATATGACGCAGTATATATACAGAATACTTCGCATGGGTCATGAACATAATCAACAGGACTGAAAGAACAATGATATATTCTGTCATGTTCAGTGGGAAACCCATATCTTTAACGAATAAGTCCACTAAAACAGCAACCATTCAGCGAGTTAATTTTGCAATTTTGAAACTTTTCAACCGATGATCACTGCTTTCAGAATCTTTCAAAAAATTTTGTTTATGAGGCCATCTGTTGGCATGTACGAAACGAATTGTTGCAAGTATAATTCAAGTTGCAGTTATAATTTATAATAGAACGCAACGGGCAGGAGAACGAGAAAGCACTAGGCTTTTCGTTTTAGAGGATTAACGGAGAGGCAGTGGAGCAGGTGAAGAAGTTCAAGTACCTCGGAACTATATTTACTACAAATGGAAAGTTGGAGGAAGAGATCGACCGGCGAATTGGTGTAGCTAGCGGCGTTCTGCGTGAACTAACCCGACTAATTGTGACTAAAGCAGCGCTCAGTCTGAAAACTAAGCTCTCAATATTCAAGTCGATCTTTATCCCCATACT